ACATAAAGATCAAAGCCAAAGGCTCTGCAATCTCCTCTCGAGCTTCCCAGACAATCCTAGGATAAATCCCATCCGGCCCAGGGGACTTATCTATTTTCACACTTTCCAGAATTGCTAACACCTCCTCCTTATGAACCTCAATCCCATCTAGTGTAATAGCCTGTATCTCAGTATTCTCCTCGACTACATTGTCTGTCTTTTTCCTGTGTGAATACTGACGAAAAATATTCATTTAGCACCTCTCCTATCTCTTCGGACTCCACGCACAACTTCCCACTACTGTCCTTGACCGGCCCCAATCTTACTCTAGTCATTTTTTTATTCCTGACATACCTGTAGAAAGCTTTCGGGTTTTCCTTGATCCTACCTGCTAAAGACTTCTCATGTCCCCTCCTGGCTCTTCTTAGCTCTCTCTTTAGGTCCTTCCTGGCTAACTTGTAACTCTCAAGCGCCCGAACTGAGCCTTCACGCCTCATCTCTACAGAAGCCTCCTTCTTCCTCTTGACAAGAGATTCAACTTCTTTAGTAAACCACGGTTCCCTCGCTCGACCACTTCCTCCCTGCCTGAAAGGTACATACTTCTCAAGGACACGCAGTAGCTGTTCCTTGAACAAGCTCCACATTTCAATTGTGCCCAGTCCCTGCAGTTTCCTTCTCCATCCTATGCATCCTAAATCTTGCCTCATCGCCTCATAGTTGCCTTTCCCCCAGCTATAACTCTTGCCCTGCGTTATATACCGATCCCTTTCCATCACTAAAGTAAACGTAACCGAATTGTGGTCACTATCACCAAAGTGCTCTCCTACCTCCAAATCTAACACCTGGCCTGGTTCATTACCCAGTACCAAATCCAATGTGGCCTCGCCTCTTGTTGGCCTATCTACATACTGTGTCAGGAAACCCTCCTGCACACATTGGACAAAAACTGACCCATCTGAAGTACTCGAACTATAGCGTTTCCAGTCAATATTTGGAAAGTTAAAGTCCCCCATAACAACTACCCTGTTAATTTCACTCCTATCCAGAATCATCTTTGCAATCTTTTCCTCTACATCTCTGGAACTTTTCGGAGGCCTATAGAAAACTCCCAACAGGGTGACCTCTCCTTTCCTGGTTCTAACCTCAGCCCATACTACCTCAGTAGACGAGTTGTCATCAAATGTCCTTTCTGCCACCGTAATACTGTCCTTGACTAACAATGCCACACCTCCCCCTCTTTTACCACCTTCCCTGATCTTACTGAAACATCTAAACCCCGGAACCTGCAACAACCATTCCTGTCCCTGCTCTATCCATGTCTCCGAAATGGCCACAACATCGAAGTCCCAGGTACCAACCCATGCTGCAAGTTCACCCACCTTATTCTGGATGCTCCTGGCGTTGAAGTAGACACACTTTAAACCACCTTCCTGCCTGCCGGTACACTCCTGCGACCTTGAAACCTTATTTATGACCTCACTACTCTCAACCTCCTGTACACTGGAGCTACAATTCAGGTTCCCACCCCCCTGTTGAATTAGTTTAAACCCTCCCGAAGAGCATAAGCAAATTTTCCCCCCAGGATATTGGTACCCCTCTGGTTCAGGTGTAGACCATCCTGTTTGTAGAGGTCCCACCTACCCCAGAATGAGCCCCAATTATCCAGGTATCTGAATCCCTCCCTCCTGCACCATCCCTGTAGCCACGTGTTCAACTGCTCTCTCTCCCTATTCCTCGCCTCGCTAGCACGTGGCACGGGTAACAAACCAGAGATAACAACTCTGTTTGTTCTAGCTCTAAGCTTCCACCCTAGCTCCTTGAATTTCTGCCTTACATCCCCATCCCTTTTCCCACCTATGTCGTTGGTGCCTATGTGGACCACGACTTGGGGCTGCTCCCCCTCCCACTTAAGGATCCCGAAAACACGATCCGAGACATCACGGACCCTGGCACCTGGGAGGCAACACACCAACCGCGAGTCTCTCTCGTTCCCACAGAACCTCCTATCTGTCCCCCTAACTATGGAGTCCCCAATGACTAATGCTCTCCTCCTCTCCCCCCTTCCCTTCTGAGCAACAGGGACAGACTCTGTGCCAGAGACCTGTACCCCATGGCTTACCCCTGGTAAGTCGTCCCCCCCAACAGTATCCAAAACGGTATACTTGTTTTTGAGGGGAACGGCCACAGGGGATCCCTGCACTGTCTGCCTGTTCCCTTTCCGTCCCCTGACTATAACCCATCTACTTTTTTCCTGTACCTGAGGTGTGACTACCTCCCCGTAACTCCTCTCAATTACCCCCTCAGCCTCCCGAATGATCCGAAGTTCATCCAGCTCCAGCTCCAGTTCCCTAACACGGTTTCCGAGGAGCTGGAGTTGGGTGCACTTCCCGCAGATGAAGTCAGTGGGGACACTAGTGGTGACCCTTACCTCCCACATTCTACAGGAGGAGCATACAACTGCCCTAACATCCATTCCCACTGTTCTGAATTCCCAAACAGACAAATTTAAAAAAAAAAAAAATTACTAGTAGCCTTACCAAATCAGCGCTCAGAACCTTTTTTTTTTGGTTAGAGGAGGAGGATGGGTGGGAGACACTACCTAGGTAGTGTTTCGGGTAAAGCAAACGCCCAAATATATTACCTCACTTACTCACTCCGAAAATGCAGTCACGCGAGGTAAGACTTTTATAATTGAAAAAGCTCACCTTCCCAGGCTGCCCTCGCGCTTCCTCCTGGACTCCCGCCGCTGAAACAACTGAAAAGCAAAAGTTATCCTTTGCCAGCTTTTAAAGGATTCCCACTAATCTTCATATTGTACTGTATGCTGTCCCTGACGACCCTTGTCAGCCATGGTTACCTCATCCTCTCCTGAGTTGGTTTCTTCTTTTTTGGAATGACTTTCTGCTGTGCCTCCTGAATTACCCCAAGAAACTCCTGCCATTGCTGCTCCACCGTCTTCCCTGCTAGGCCTCCATTCCAATCAACTCTGGCCAACACCTCCCTCATGCATTTGTAGTTACCTTTACTCAATGGTAATACATTACATCTGATTCCAGCTTTTCCCTCCCAAACTGCAAGGTGAATTATATTATATAATGGTCACTGCCCCCTCGGGGTTCCTTCACCTTTAATTCGCCAATTAAGATTGCCTTATTACATATCACCAAATCCAGAATTGCCTGTTCCCTCGTGGACTCCACCTTAAGCTAATCCAAAAAGCCAGCTCATGGAGATTCCACAAATTCCTTTTCTTGAGATCTGCTTCCAATCTGGTTTTTTCAGTCCACCTGCATATTGAAGACCCCATGACTAATGTAAGAAAGGCACTATTACGTGTCTTCCCTATCTCCTGATTTATTTTCTTCCCCATATTCTGACTATTGCTGGGAAGCCTGTGAACCTCCCCCATCAGAGTCCCTTTCCCTTTGCAGTTCCTCAACTCTACTCACACAGGTTCCTAGCTTTTCATAATCCCCGAAACAGGTCTTTTTTCCTCGTCCTGCCTATGTTGTTGGTACCTATGTGGACCACAACGACTGGATCTTCCCCCCTCCCTCTCTAGTATCCTCTCAAGCCAGTCAGAGATGTCTTGCACCGGGCAGGCAACACACCATGCGGGATACTCTATCCTGCTCGCAAAGGATACTGTCTATCCCCCTGATGATGGAATCCCCTACAACTACAATCTGTCTTTTTGCTCCCCCCTCTTGAATGACCTCCTGGACCATGGTGCCATGGTCAGTTGACTCATCCTTCCTGCAGCCCTGTTCATCATCCATGCAGGGAGCAAGTGCCTCATACCTGTGGGACAATGTCAAGGGCTGCGGCTCTTGTGTTCCTGTCTGCAGGGTCCCTCTACCTGCCTCACTCGCAGTCACACACTGCTGTCCCTGCCCACCGATCGAATTAACATTAGTTAATCTACCAGGTGTGACTGCCTCCTGGAACACAGCATCCAGGTATTTCTCCCCCTCCCGGATGTGCTGCAGTGTTTGGATTTCGGATTCTTGCTCATCAATTTTGAGCCAGAGCTGCTCAAGCAGCCAACACTTGCTGCAGAAGTGGTCACTGCCGTTCTCAATGGGATCAGCTAGCTCCCACATCATACAGCTACAACACATCACCTGGCCTGCCATCTCTACTTAGTTAATTATTTAAAATTAATTAGTTTTTTTTTTAGTTTCATAGTGTTCTCTGCACCAGTAAGTTTACTCCGTTATATACTTAAACAGACTCTGGCTTTGCCTTTCGACCCGCTCCCAGAGGATTTGGCGTCTAGGTGACCAGCCCGAAAGATAACAAAGAGATGAGGAAAAAAAAATGCAAATAGCTTACCTGCTCACCACACTTAGTCGTTATTATTAGGTTAGAGGAGGTGGAAGGGTGGGAGACACTACGTGTGTAGTGTCTCGGGTATTAGTTAACTCCCAAATTTATTGGGTGGAAGCTTACCTTCCCAGGCTGCCCTCGCGCTTTCTCCCAGACTCCTGCCACTGAAGCAACTGAGTTCAAGTTTGACTTCACATTTAGAAAACCCACATTCTAGTTAAAGTTGATGTAGGGAGCCAAAGATATATCCCAGTGCAGTGTTGAGTCCAAATCCAACCAAGTTCATGATGTATCTTCCCCCTTTTTCCCAATTAGGTTTTTTTTTCTGTCTGTATTTGTTTTTTGCTCTCTCTGCTTGTTTTCTCCTTAACTCACTTCTAACAATATCCCAAGTAAATGAGCTTTGTCAGTCTTGCTTGAGCAGAATAAATATATCCAAGAATTCACAATCTCGCTCAGTAGATTATAACAATGTTTAGTGTAAGAAATGGAAAACTTTCTACTGGTGAAATAGGAGGTAGATTTGAAGGTTGGGATTATGTTCTAAATTGATTTATTTGATAGGAAAGTGATTATACAAACATGTGATTTTTCTTTGTAACTGCTGTCCAACATTGAGAATGTTAATGTTTTTCAAATATTACATATTGCCTTATATGAAAGGTTCATTTAACACATTTTCATTTTTATAGATCAAGTACGTACGAATAATTGAAAAGTCCACTTATCAGGCAATATCCTGGGTCAGATGCCTAACAAAAAGTGGAGGTAATAATTTATTACAAACTCGCAACAATAATTTTCTGAAAATGTTTTCAGGCAAGCTCTGTGCCTAATGGTTTCAATTTGGGTAAGTCAGTTTCTGTCAGTTGACTGTAACTGTAGAGGGTATTATGAAGATCACTCACCTCTCAGGAAGGTAGGATAAATCTGAAGCAAAAGATAATCCTGACTTTACACACTCTCCATTTGAGTCCATGTGCTGAAGAACTGTATAGTTTTCATGTCTCTTTTCAGAAAGCTAAACCATCCTCTCAGCCAGATTGCAAGAGAGAGAATTAAGTGCCAAATCATAACCATCTCCAATATAAGAAAAGCTAATCATCTTACTTTGACATTCAATAACATTACCATCCCTTAATCCCTCACCATCCTCAAGGACACATGTCAGGAGTGTGATGGAATCAAGCAAGTGAAGACATTTCAATAACATTCTAGAAACTCAACACTAGCCAAAGCAAAGCAACCTGCTTGATTGGCATCCATCTAACACCTTCAGCAAATGCTCCATCCAACTCACAGCACAGTGGCAACTACAAGATCCATTTCAACAATGCACCAAGCCTCCTTAAAGAGCACCTTTCAAATCCAAGACCTTGGCCATGTAGCAGGACAAGGGTAACAGATGTATAAGAGCACCAACACCTACATGTTCCCCTCCCTGACTTAGAGCTGTATTGCTGCCCCTTCACTGTCACTTGATCAAAATCCTGGAACTCCTTCCTAAAAGCATTGAGTATATCTACATCATACAGACTGCAGTAGTTCAAGGAAGCAGTTCACTGGAATTCCCACATCCTATTAATTACTAAAAGATACATGGACTGGAATGGTTAAAAAGCCAGCTGACCACCACCTTATAAGGGCAGTTAGGGGTGGATAACAAAAGCTGATCAAGCCAGTGATGCTCACATTTCGTGAAAGAATTTTTTTAAAAACGCCTCAGCATGTTAAACTGAGAGCCTTGCATTTGCCTGATCAAATGAACACCAAAAATTTCATAGCACTCACTGAAGAAAAACAAGTCTGTTCTCCGGTGTCTAGAGTTATCCAGTATCCCATTGGGAGGCATGGTGGCTCAATGATTAGTATTGCTGCCTCACAGTGCCAGGGACATGGGTTCAATTCCAGCCTCAGGCAACAGTCTGTGTGGAGTTTGCACATTCTCCCCTTGTCTGCGTGGGTTTCCTTGGGGTGCTTCAGTTTCCTCCCACAGTCCAAAGTTGTGCAGGTTAGCTGCATTGGCCATGCTAAATTGCCCATGGCATCCGGGGATGTGCGGACTAGGTGGGTTAGCTATGGGAAATGGAGGGTTACAAAAATAAGTTGTGGGGGGTGGGTCTGGGTGGGATGCTCTTTGAGGGGCAGTATTGACTCAATGGGCCAAATGGCCTGCTTCCACGCTCTAGGGATTCCATGATCTGGAACAAGTAATGATCACTCAATACCAGCAAAGCTGATCAATTATATGTTTTGTTAAATGCTAGTTTAATGATGACCACGTATCCAGTGTTGTAAAAAAACCACCTCGTTCACTCATGGTCATTTGGGGAAGGAAATCTGCCAACCTTAACTGCCTTGGCCTATATGTGACTGGACTCTCAGCAATGTGGTTTACACTTAACTGCCATCTGAAATAGCCTAGCAAGTCATTTACTTTAAGGGCAATTAGGGATTGTTAGCCTTGACAGCAACACCCACATTCCATGCAACAATAAAACAAAATGTCATGTTCGTGGGAGCTCGCTGTCTGCGAATTAGTTGTTATTCTTGTTTACATAATGGTAACTATACTTCAAAATTAGCTCATTAGTTGTGATGCAGTTTGTGATTTTGGGAGAGTGTCAATGAGACTGTATGTATATATTTTTCCTTTGTCCCTAGATTTCGAAATTCGGATTTGAAGTTTTCTACTTCTAAATTCCACTTTGAGCAGAGGATTTTAACTGTGAACATCATTCATAAGATTTCAATAAAACATGAGTTCTGGTGTCCCAAATTGCATGAAATGATTTGCTCAAGACTGAAGTGTACAGTATATTCACAATTCCAGCTGAAGATTTTTAAAAATTTTGGACTGAAACAGGAATTAATGAGTAATGGTAGTCACTTTTATTAAAGAAAAGTCAGAATTGTTCATTTGAATCCATTTTATGCCTTGTGATTTTGTTTAGAATATGTATTGTGGGGTAAGATTAGAACTAGCCACTCATGCAACCAGTTCTTATCTACACTATATTAAATTGTTTTATGCCATCAGAGGCATTATTCAGGATAGAGTTTAAAAGTTATGTTGCTCCCAACGTATGAATAAACTTGTTCGATAAAAATACAAACAATTCTACAAGGTGATGTGTTTCTGTTGTGTTGGCTGCTTTGGCAATTAGTTGTTCCACCATTGTTTTTCCCAATTCTTGATTTCGTCTATGTGCTTGCCTGATTTTATTCCTTTGGGGTTGAATGGAAAGCAGCACTGAGGTGAACTTGGGAATGGTCAAACTAGCCAATGAAGAGAATCCTGTTGAGATCTTATCGTAGCCAGGAGGATAGTTTTATTTTCCTACCATGGCTACAGTGCCTTTGAAGTGTGGGTAAGAGGAGATGGCAAAGGCACTATACATAGGTGCAATATCCCTGCTTTGTTTCAAATAGTAAAACTTGTCAACTCCAGAAAGTTCAAAGCTATTTTTAAACTGACCTGAACTAAATTGTTTTTGAAGGTACATATGATGATGAAGAAAACTGTAGTTAAAAGAATTGGGTTGAACTATGCCATTGTTTGGCAGTGTTTCTTCGAGTGAGAGTCATGGCTGTCAGTCTGTTAAGCCCAATGTCAACTTTTCTCATGTTCTTTATCTCCTTAATTATATGACTGCCCTGTTTGGCATCCTCCAAGTGGAATCATGTGGCAGGAGAGGCAGAAGTGCTTGACCCTGCGAGGACTTTGCAATGTTCACACTGCTGGTGCCTTATTTACATCCAGTTCCACAATACTTCAGGTGCTATATGCCTAGCCTTCACACTCTGATGCTCCACTATTTTTAGCAAGGACATGGGCCAGAATGGCAAGCCCACTTCCTGCTTTACCGACAGGGTAAAGGTAGTGGGAGACGAAGTGATGTAGAGGGGGGCCATCCTTTTTCCTTTTGTCTGCCAAAGGAGGCCATGGCACTACACTCTGCCAGCCTGAATTGAGATACCACTGTGGTTAATGCAGTGTCGTGGGTGAAAGGAATGCATGGCAGTGTCGGAAGAAGGTGAATGACTTTTCGCCTGTTCTCTGCACTTCCTAGTCATTAACCTCACCACCTCTCCTGCTTCACCAGTAATAGCTCTTCCCATTTACTTCCACTGTACTCAATCCCCCTCTTCATCTCATTGCAAGGGAAAAATGTTTCATAATCGGGCTGCGAGGTCTAGGGCTGGTGATGGGTGGTGGACATAAGGCTCCTGACCCTATAGGAGGAGAAACTACTTAACTTAGCCAGAAACAAGCGTGACTGCTTGGGCATGGAAGTGGAGATCTCCTTGGCTACCAACAGAATGATCTTCATTGTGCTGAGGTGCACTGCTGTCCCATTACCACCAACGGTAACTCATTTTTAACCCGCACAATTTTTATCCCTTTTATGCAACTAATTCCTCCTCTTCTCTTAAGCAAGTACTAATGAGACTCAGTGAAGCTCTGGCAAGAAGATGCCAGTATTGGTGACCGTCCCCTCCATGTATAATTCTGAGGAGGAAGCATCTCCACCCTCGCTCGATGCATTAGCTGTCACCTGCTTCAACCCCTCACCCCCCCCAAACTCCAAGCTTCCACCTCAACGAGTTCTCTTTGTAGATTAGACTCAGGAACACGAGCTGGTGAGCACATCAGTGGCACACCTCCACAGCTTGTAGATGAAGAAATGCCCAAAGTTTCTGAGGATTGCCAGAGCCCAGGTACCTGCTGAGCCTCGGTCAGTAGACAATCCCACGATCTCTACTCGTGTACGTTAACAGGCACGAGAACATCACTGGGCGGTTTTTATCGAAGAGGAAGACAATAATGAATGGTGAGTGTTCTTGGTTTTTTTAGAACATATTGGCATTTTGAATCCAGTTTTGTATTTGTATGCCAATTCCTAGCTTGAATAGTTCCAAACTGACTGTATTGTACATATCCCGTACCCCAGTCACCCCGAGCTTGCTTGACCAGGTCAGCAATGTTGTGACATTAAAATTCCAATGCTTGCTTTCAAATCTTTTCATGACAGTGCTCCTCCATATCTCTAATCTCTTTCATGAAACCACAGTAGTGCACGACATGGCCCCCTGATGCTGTTACAATGCTTGATGTCTACCTGGAAGTACAGATTTAATGAAATCTTTGTAGCTGTGCTTGGATGGCCTAGCGGCACTATCAGTGAAAACAACAGTTGGTGGCCTCAATTCCCCAAAGAGCCAGTCATTCAGATATCATGCTTGACATTGGCTAATAATTAATTAGTAGCACTTCTAATTCAGGAGGAGTTAGCTCCTGGAAAGACCTAGAGAAATGCCAAATATATCCCATGTTGTGGACATGCTACCATGCAGAAGCTGACTAGCATTTAGCATTGCGTTACCTTAGGAAAATCTGATGTAGACGTTAATCCTACTGAACAAGGTATCCACATCTTGGTGGATGTGACAATTCACATCGAGCTGAATATGTAGCAGATATTATCATCCCCCCTCAACTCCAGTCCTGATAACCTCAATGGGGCTATATTTACCTGGACTGTAGCTAGATATCTTTATTACAGAAATCAAAATGGTCAACCTCTCCTTTTATCATAAACAGCATGTTTTGATGAGGTTAATTTATGTTCAGCAACGGCATAATCTCCTCTTCCTGCCCTGGACAATCCCTGAAGCATTTGTAGGCTGTTGATAACTTTTATCCAAGAGAATCTGTGGTGTCTAACAGCTTTCTTGATCTCTTCAAACATTGGGTCATATATTGTGCACTTACTGAAACAGTAAAGTATATTTCCTTTTAATGTAATGAAATATTCCAAGATGCTTCACGGGAGCATTATAAAACTAAAATATGAGATTAAGATATTAGGCCGGATGAGAAAAAAAAATAGACAAAGAGAAGTGTACACAGGCAATTCTGATTTCAGACCCAGGCAATGAGACATTCAAGAGCACATTGGATAATTGTTTTATAGAAATGGTGTGCAGGGATATGGGAAAAAGACAAGAGATCAGCACTAGGTAATAGAACTAGAGCAGGCATGATGGGCCATTTGGATATCCTGTACCATTACCAATTATTCAACTGAATCACAGAATTGTTATGTGCCAAAGGCCAAAATTGACAGGGCATAAATATCAAATGGTTACGGATGGTGAGGTTAAGTATATGAGGAGCAAGGCAAGGATGAAATTTTAACATCAAGATTTTGCTTGACCAGGAGCCAAAATGTAAATCAGCGCACACAGGGGTGAAAGGGAAATGGACATTGCTCTGAGTTAACAGCTGGGCCACGGTGTCTGGAATGATAGCATTTACGGGGGGTAAAATGTAGGAAACCAGCCAAGTATGTTGGATTGAGCAAGTCTAGAGATAGTAAAAGCACAAATGAAGATTTCAGTGACACGGGCTGAGACAGACCAAAGCTAGGAGGTTGAATAAACCTCAAGTGTTGGCATAAGTACGGGGGTTGGAAAATGCATTGCAGGATCAAACGTGGCACCAATTTTGAACAGACTGGCTCAATTTACAATTGTCACCTCGGAGAAGGATGAAATTGGTAACTAGAGAAGAGAGTTTAGAGCACTGGCACAGGAACTAAATTACAAAGATAGACAAATATGCAGTAACACCATACTTACTTATACCTAGTACTGCACTTATTCTTTAGATTGCCTCTGCTCTTATCCCTCAAAGAATGGCCGTAGAAAAAAAGCCAGTTCCACTTGAAAATATATTATTTTCAATTTTGATCCAAGGAACATCTGAAGCATTAAGAAATGCACTATGCTTGGGTTGGAGACCTGTTGTGTGTTACACAGAATGTTTATTGCGGTGAACAGCCTAAATGTGTTTTAAAGTCAATCTAAAGGAGTACAAGGTAGAAAGGAACAGGAATGATAGGGCTGGTGTAAACAGCTACCTGCAGTATCTCTGGCAGTGCCAGCGTGTGTCCCCTGCAGTTGTGATTTGATCTACCAGACATGTATAAGAGGACTAGACCGGGTAAATGCAGGAAGGATATTGCTGATGACTGGGACCAGGATAGGCTATTTGGTACTGAGATGAGAACTTATTTCACCCACAGAGTGGTGAGCCTGTGGAATTCTCTGCCATGGAAAGCGATTGAGGACAAGGCATTGAATATTTGAGAGTATGACATACTTCTGACAGCGGGATCAAAGGGTATGGGGAGAAAGCAGGAACAGGGTTGGATATTGGCTACAATTATACTGAATGGTGGAGCAGGCTCGAAGATCTGAATGGTCTAACGCCTGCTTCTCTTTTCCATGTTTCTATGATAGTCTTTTTGTCAATTCATTGATAACACAGGTAGTTCTGAAACACTGGAAGCCTCTTTACTAATGCATTTATTTCAATTGAACGTATATCGTCTGTTGGCACAAAAGGCAGAAAATGTCATGGAGCAACACCAATTTTGTTTTTAAACATAATTTTGACTTTCTTCCAACATTTCACTTCATACTTGGTCCAATAAAAAAGGGAAAAAGAACAAAATGTTTATCTGTGCCAATTTATAGCAAGGTGATTATTCAGGCTGGAAGAGCAGTTTGTATATAAGTTAATCCAACTGCCTAACTATTTCCAGTCCACATTACGGAAGTGATGGTTCTAATGGAGTTCTTCAGTAACAGTGATGTTTGGTTTGCATGCAGGGTGACAAATCACCTGAGTGTGGAAGTAAAATCACACACACTGATTCAGTCTCAACTGCAGCCACCTACAAATGGCCAATTCTGCTCAGCAAAGAACCAGTGAGCATGTTATGAATGAACAAAATTAAACTTTCACGTTAAATATTAATTTTAATTATGGTTCCCATTTGTAATGACTTTTTTCAATGAACATAAGTGCAAGGTAAATTACAGAAAATTAAATTTCTTAGTTCTAGAAGCAAATACTGAGATGATTCAGTAGAAAGGGGGTGGATAATTTCTAAAAATGTGCCTCCTTTTTCAGATATCCAAGACACACTATGTAAATACTTTTCATCTTTTTTACTATAAAAGATTAGGAGTACTTCTGGATCCATTCCCACACTGCCGTTTCCATGCAAACATTAAGACAGCATCAAAGGTCATCCTCAGTCCAATAAATAGCTTCTGTACACATTGTACAATAGATACATATAAAGTGAACTTTCTCCTTTTACTCCACATTCCTTTTGCATTTCTTTCATCCATCTTGGTGTTGAGATGAATTAATAATGTCCCAAACAGTCGTCTTTCAAATAACCTCAAAACTTAGTAAATGAAAGTGCATTGACCACTTGAACAAAAACAGTGAAGAGGAGGTTATGTTTGTTCTGATGAACTTTACTGCTGTGTGTGTTTGTGTTGAGGGAATCCGTTTAAGGAGCGCCTGTTCTTCATGGCAGTTTTACCGTATCCTTGTAAAAAGATTAAGGACAGATTTGGATTCCTAAAATGGAAAAATTATTTTAGTACCAATGATATCAGGTGGCATTGCAAATCCATAAATCTCTCAAACAACCAATAGATTTATTAACTATTTAGTCATAACTAAGATATTTTGAGGAAATCAAACAGCAAAAAAGTTATTTTTATACAATAGTTCAATTACTAATTTGCTCTTCACAGTACCTTTATATAGGGCATTTACTGTGATAAATTTCTTGGGGTGCTTCACAGAAGCATGAAGATGATTAATATTAATGTCTTTTGTTCAGCATAACTAGTAAAAGCAGCTCCATTCTTGGTCAAAAAGGAATGTTTTAACTGAGGAAAATGAGGTGAAAGTTAAGGGAGGGAGGTCTAGTGTTCATGGTCTAGACAACTCAAAGCATGCCTGCCAACATTAGATACATAATTGGCTCTCTCAAATGGTGAAGGGGTGCTTTTCTGACTGGAGGCCTGTGACCAGTGATATTCCACAAGGATTGGTTCTGGGTCCTCTTTTTTGTCTATCATTTATATAAGTGATTTGGATGAGAATATAGAGGGCACGGTTAGTAACTACGCAGATGACACCAAAATTAGTGGCATAGTACACAGTGAAGAAGGTTTTAAGATTGTAAAGGGATCTTGATCAAATGGGTAAATGGGCTGAAAAATGGCAGGAAGAGTTCAATCTGGATAAATGTGAGGTATTGCATTTTGGTACAACAAACAAGGGTAGGGCTTATACAATTAATGGTAGGACCTTGGGCAGTGTTGTAGACCAAGGGGACCTAAGGATGCATGTACATAATTCTTTGAAGTTTGCATCATATATAGACAGGGTGGTTAAAAAGGCATTTAGCATGCTTGCCTTTATTGCTCAGTCCTTTGAGTATAGGAGTTTGGATGTTGTGTTGAGGTTGTACAGGACATTGGTGAGACCTCTCCTTGAATACTGTGTCCAGTTCTGTTTGCCCAATTATAGAAAGGATATTATCACGCTTGAAAGGGTTCAGAAGAGATTTACCAGGATGTTGCTGGGTATGGAAGGCTTGAGTTATAAAGAAAGGCTGGATAAGCTGGGAAATTTTCCACTGGAGTGGAGGAGGTTGAGAGGTGAACTCATAGAAGTTTATAAAATAATGAGAGGTATAGACATCATTAATGGTAGTTGTCTTTTCCCTAGGATGGGGGATTTAATACTAGGGGGCACATTTTTAACGTGAAACATGAGAGATTTAAAAAAGACATGAGGCAAATTTTTTTTTTTTTTTTTAAAAACAGAGTGTGGTTCGCATGCGGAATGAACTTCCTGAGGAAGTGGTGGATGTGGGTACACTTACAACGTTTGAGACATTTGGATAAGTACATGAATAGGAAAGGTTTGGAAGGATGTGTGACTAGTTTAGTTTGAGATTCGGCATGGACTAGCTGGACCGAAGGGTCTGTTTCTATGCTGTATGACTCTGCCTCTATAACAGGAGACCTAAAGGGTGCACAAAAGTTCAGAGTTGGAGGCATGTGGAATTATAGAAAGCCAAAGCTATAGCAAGGGGGTAAGCCATGAGATTGTATACGGTTCTAAAGGATGCAGAAGTCAAGGGATAATAACTGAGATTTAGAAGTTAGAGAAGGACAGTACAAGGGAGTTATCAACACCATTCGAGATAGTAGTGAAGAAGACGGGTTGGGTGGGCAGCAGTTTGTTGGAGCGTGGGGGCTAAAAGAGCAAGTTGAATATCATGGAGAAGCTATTATAAAGAACTAGGAGGAACACAGGAGTTTAGGGCAGGGCTGGGATGGCATGGTTTGCCAGAGCAGAGAGAGATGACTAGGCCAACTGAAATACCATTACGATTGAGGCCATACAAAAAAAAATGAACTTGTGTTTCTCATAGGCGATGGTGGAAAATACAAAAGGTAAAAGGTTTAAAATATAGTCACTAGTAGATGGAAGAAACTAGGCTCATCCTTAATTTCCAGGATCGTCCTGGAATTTAATGATCAATTTTCTCACTTGAGAAACTCTGACAGTACTTGGTGTCATCCAGCCAGATTCTGGGTGCAGTAGCTGTTTCAGGATGACTAGCCACAATTCACTTGAACAATGCCACAAACTTGGAGGTTTAACATCTCATGTGAAAGTCAAAGTCCTGTCGGCCTTTCTGGATGGGCATGAAAGATCCCAAAAAACTATTTGAAAAGCAGAGCAATTCTCCAGTTGTATCATAGAGCTGTACAACACGGAAACAGATCCATGCCAACCAGATACCCTAAAATTAATCCAGTCCCATTTGCCAGCTTTTGGCCCATATCCCTCCAGACCCTTCCTATTCACGTACTCATCCAAATGTCTTTTAAAGGGGGCAGCATTGTGGTTTAGTGGTTAGCACTGCACCAGGGACCTGGGTTTGATTCCAGCCTTTGGACTTTGTCCTTGTGTCTGGACCGTGGGAGGAAACCCATGCAAAGATGTGCAGGTTGGATGGATTGGCTATGCTAAATTATCCAATGTGTTCAGGGATGTGTAGGTTAGCCTTGGAAAGTGCAGGGTTACAGGGATGTGGTAGGGGTTATATCTGGATGGGATGCTCTGCACTGTGGACTCAATGGCCTGCTTCTACACTGTAGGGATTGTGATTCTATGAGATGTTGTTATTGTACCAGCTCTGGTACATTATTCGATATATGCACCACCCTCTGTATGAAAAAGTTGCCCCTTGGGTCCCTTTAAAATCTCTTGCCTCTCAGCTTAAACCGATGCCCTCTAGTTTTGGACTCCCGCACCCCAGGGAAAAGACCTTGGCTATTCTCCCTATCCATGCCCCTCATGATTTTATAACTTATCCCTTAGCCTTCAATGCTCCAGGGAAAATAGTCCCAGCCTATTCAGCCTGTCCCTGTTGATCAAACTCTCCAAACCTGGCAACAACTTTGAAAGGGTTCAGAAAAGATTTACAAAGTTTCACAACATCCTTCCTATAGCAAGGAGACCAGAATTGGATGCAGTTTTCCAAAAGTGGCCCAACCAATGTCCTGTACAGCTGCAACATGATCTCCCACCTCCTACACTCAACGTACTGACCAATGAAGGCAAGTATATCAAACACCGCCTTCATTATCCTGTCTAAATACGACTCCACTCTAAGGTCTCTTTGTTCAGCAACACTCCCCAGGACCTTACCATTAAAGGTGTAGCCAAAACATACTCCTCAAGTGTTCAAATGTAAATTATCCAGTCATTTATTACAAAGCTGGTTCTGAATCCTTGGCATCTGCACATTTGCTGCATATTTTCCTAATATGTGACTACACTTCAATATTTATTTCACTGATTCTAAAGCAATTTAGGATGTTCTGAAGACATGAAAGGCCCTATATAAATGCAAGTCTTTCTCCATAACTTCGCACTTGGATAGGATATCACAAGTATACCAGCTGGGTGTAAAAAGATTAGCAACTCCTCATACTCTACTTTGACAATGAGTTTTACTGGATTAAGAAGTTTTCTGGGTAAACGTAAAATTTCTTGGGCTTAATCTTGCTTTAGCCAAGTGACCGGTGATACTCTGCTGTCACCAGAAGCTTGAAATTCCTGTGCTGCCTTATTCTCTTGCAAAATGCTTGTATCTCTCAACCAGTTAAGGACACGCAGGACAAAAATTAAAATCATTTTTAATATAATGTCACACGGCCTAATAATCGCAAATGATTTCCAAACAAAGTATATTATTTTCATGGGGAATTGCACACACTAATGTTTAAGTTGACCATAAATGCTTGCTTACAAACAAACAACTCTGCCAGAAAGTGGACTTCCTACCTTAGTCGAACGGGTTTTACTGAAAACATTCCAAAACCGCAGAGTTTCATCACCTGCTCCTGTTACTATAGCCTCTCCATCAGGTGATATGGCCTAAAGAAAAAGAATCACAATTCATTAATACACAGGATCTACCTTTATGTGCGCCCATAACAGACAGATGTAGATGGCTTGAACTCATTCATTTACAGTATTGCCACTCCAGATAGTCATTAGTTTCCTCTATTGATGTCTATTTTAAAATATAATGAGCATGTAATACTCCACCATACCCCTGGCTGGAGACTAGTAAGTCGTCCTCAAAATTTCAGAGACACTGTATACTGGAACTCTCCATTTGCTGGGTGTTTATTAAAGTCAAAAATGTACTAGTAGTAATTAGTAACAGTAGTTTAAATGACTGCTACATTAAGACATTCTTCCTGACTGTGTCAAGGTGCAAGAATAAAATGGTGACTATCGTTACTGGCACCCCAAATATTCATTCTATCAAATTTCTCCAACTTTAAAAGTATCCTTATTCTCTGCTTGGCTCCAGGTGAAATTGCTTCATACTTTTTAAAATTTGTACTTTTTTTTTTAGAAAATGGCTTTGTCTTATCATTCCCTGAAGGTATGAATGGATACACTGAACTCCCAGGTTCCACATCAAGGGGTTATCCCCGATGTCCTCAAACAGATTATCTGGTCATTACCATGTTGCCGCTTGTGGAAGTTTAGCGTGCACATTGTAGGTTTACCTACAGTGCATGGACTGCAGTGGTTCAAGAAAGCAGCTCACCACTATCTTCCCAAGGGTAACCAGGGACCACGAGTGAATTGAGAAAAGACTAGTAGCTGTGTTTCCTACAAGACTAACTACACTTCAAAAATGCTTTGCAGACTATGAAGTTCAATGTGCTATCTCATGGTCATAAAAAGCACTGAAATGAGTCTCTGTTTTTGGATTATACAATTACTGATGCCAACACTAAATTAATAAAACAATTTATAAGTGCAATAAATGTACAATTTTGACATGGAATAAAAACTGACGTTTAAACGTCAAAAAAAAGTTTTATCACGATTAATCTTGTAATTACCTGCAAGCCCTATCAGGGAACAAAAACAGATCTAGCACTGAACCCTGGGGTACACTACTTACAATGCTTCTCCAATTTATGTATCATTCAGTTAACCTACATTTAGAAACAAAATTAATTTGGCTAGGTTGGTTCAAAGATAGAAGCTAACATTAGATTAGTGGCTAATTGGGAAAAGTGTATTTTTGTCATTCTAAGAGGAAAACAAACATCTGCTTACAGTTTGATGCAGGATAGGTAAATTAAAAAAAATAAACTATATGTCTAAAGTCACAGTCTCACTGTCTGCTTCAGTCCTATTGCTCCTTGGAGAGAGCCCCCTGCTGGTTGATGTGAAAAGTTCGCATTCAGGCATCTGCCCTGGATCTCAATTATCATGTAGCAAAACTTAGAATTTCCAAAACGATTTTTGGACAGAAACATACCTGAGCAAAAATACAAAGGCTTGTAAATGTTGAAGTAATCAGAAAAGTGCCACATGAAGTTGATTGATTTCTTCTATATTATAGCCTATCATATTTTTAATTTCACTTGCTTTAGAGTATTTGGAAAGGCTAGGAAAGTTATAAGACTTGACCATTCACTTCCCACTAGTGCATAAATAACACCTGGGTAAACTATAAGTAAATCATGCTAAAATCTCAGATCAGTCCCACGGTCTCGTAGGACTATGGTGACCTGCTTTACTATTCCAGATTTATTGAATTTAAATTCCTCCAACTACTGTGGTGGGCTTTGGATTAATGTCTCCTAGAGCATTTATCCAAAGGAGGACAAGTTTAGTAAGATTACTCCAATGCTATAATCCCCCGACATGTTGCAGAAAACTAAGTATACCAGTGCCAACTTTGCAACTAGCCACAAAAACAAAACTCTTACCAGGTAGAGCACTCTATATGAATGCCCTGTCAGTTTGGCAACCTGTGTTAAGGACGGGTATTTCCACACTAAAATCTGATTCTGCGAATAGCCGTGTGTACTAACCTGCAAAACAAAGCCAAATTTTAAAAAAAAATCCATCAACAAGTCTTAATGAAGTTTTTTTCAACTTCACTGCAAGTTGGGACTTGCTTTTTCAGACAAAATTGAATGAATTCAAGTCCAGCAAACTAACCCAAATCTGTGAATTTTTAAAAAAAATAATAATATATTGTTGACCCTCTGGTCACTGGCTCTGATAGGAATATCAGTTACAATACTGTATCTTAGAACAGCATCATTTCCTTGCCATTAATATCATCTCGCATCATGAACTTTCCTCGCTGATAACACTGCTGTAAAGTAGACATTTGAATTCCTGTAGATCCTCGTTAATGCCACACAAAGTGCATAAATAAACAGCTTACTTAAGCAAAAAGGATACAAGTTAGTTATTAAAGATTGGCAGGAATCAAATACTTGGAAACAAATGCAATAATCTCCACAAGTGTGAAGCAATAACATTTTTAAAAGAAAAGCACCAACCGTGCTTCAAGGAAGAGAAGACAGGAGGAGGCCATTCGGCCCTTTGAGCCTACTGCGCCATTCATCACAATGATGGCTGATCGTCCAACTCAATAGCCTAATCCTGCTTTCTCCCCATAACCTTTGATCCCATTTGTCCCAAGTGTTATATCTATCCATCTCTTGAATACATTCAATGTTTTGGCATCAACTACTTTCTGCGGTAATGAATTCCACAGGCTCACTACTCTTTGGGCGAAGAAATGTTTCTTCATCTCTGTTCTAAATGGGTCTACCCTGAATCCTCAGACTGTGATCCCTTGGAGTAGCAAAATAAATCACAAAAAGACTGATCAAAAATAAGATAACAAGGTGTAGAGCTGGATGAACACAGCAGGCCAAGCAGCATCAGAGGAGCAGGAAAGCTGACATTTTGGGTCTGGACCCTTCTTCAGAAATGGGGAGGGGAAGGGGATTCTGAAATAAATAGAGAGAGAGGGGGAGGCGGATGGAAGATGGATAAAGGAGCGGACAGGTCAAGGAGGTGGGGATGGAGCCAGTAAAGGTGAGTGTAGGTGGGGAGTT